AATGGCCTCTCAATTAATACTAAAAAATCGAAAGTAATGTTTTTTTGGGAACATGCAAGAGGATTCAATAAATGTTTCCATTTATAGGACGCCTATAAATGTTGTAAGCTCGATGAAATGTCTTGGTTTGTTTCTTGATTCTGGTTTGGTATTTGACGTGCATGTGAATTCTTTAGTGTCCAAGGTAAATTTTGTTTTAAAAAGTTGTACTGTTTGAATATAGTTTTGCCAAAGAAGATTAGAATTCAGTTGGTCCATGCCCTGATTATGCCTCATTTTTTATATTGCATTGATAATTTTGGGGGTAGTTGTGGTTTTGTTTTTCGTAAGTTGAAACTTTTGTTTAATAGGGTTATGCGATATGTTTTTTGTGTTAAACGTCGTGATCATATATATATCTCCTTCTGTGAAAGAGTTTCTTGGTTGTTCATTTGATTGCTTTGTGAGTTTAAGGTCTATGTTGTTCTTCTACAAACATTTTAAATTGCAAACACATTCTTCTCTTTTGGATCTCTTTAAGTTTTCTAGATCTGTAAGGAACCCGCAAATACTTATACCACGCTTGACTGCTCTGTTGGAAAAATCCTTCTATGTTAGAATTGCTCGTATTTTCAACAATCTGCTGCCAAATCTTAAGACATTTAATTCTTCCTTAAAATGTTATAAGCGTAAATTATACGATCACTTCAATCAACATATTGTTTAAAAATTTTCATGATTTTCTTGTTTGTTTTTGTATTTCTCTTGCATAGCTGACTCATCTTATTCTTAAATCAATTTTTTGTTAATTTTTTTAATGTTTAATTTTAATTATCTTTAAGATTAAGAATATTATAAATAATTTTAGAGTAGTTATATATAGAAGTTTTTGGAACCGTCCATGGCCCTAGGGGCTAGGTAACTGTGTTAATTGAATATAAATAAATAAAAAAAATATTATTCTAATTGTAATTATTACAAATATTCATATATACCCTTAACTTTATCTTCGCACTGTAACGATTCAAACACATTCCACATATTTTTCATAACTAACTGTTTCAAAAATGGCAAATAGAAACCAAACCTAGTAGGTCATCAAGCTGAATAGCGAGTAGAAATAATCCTTCTAGAACTTCTCAAAATCAACATAGTGCAAGCACTTCGGGAGCAACACTCTTAAACAATAACACTTTAGGTAATCAATCTTTGCCAAACAATAATGCTTCGGATCAAAACATCTTGAACATGTCAACACACTCTGCGAGAAGAAATAATCGTTCTAGAACTTCTCAAAATCAACATAGTGCAAGCACTTCAGGAGCAACACTCTTAAACAATAACATTTTAGGTAATCAATCTTTGCCAATCAATAATGCTTCGGATCAAAACATCTTACAAAAAAATAACACCCATGGTACACAAATTTATATGAACAGTTAAAGCGGAAAGAGCCTACCCATTTCGGCGAGCTAAGCCGCAGCCTAGGACCAGCGTACCATGTCCGCTCAAAAATCACTGTTACAAATATGGCGCCCAACGTGGAGCTTCTTAAAAAAAATTGTATTTCTCCTATAATCCAAACTCTTCATTTAGCTACAATCAGTTTGTAGGTATCCCGGAAGGCAATTCAAATGTCATACGGTGTTGTACAAATACTCTGATGTAGTGAAAGGTCGAGTTACCAACCGATGAAAATGATATTACAATCGTGACAGTATCATAATTTAATATTTATTTGTACCTCAACGAAAGAAATATTCATTTGCATCGAAAGGTATAATTCATTTAATTTCTTTGTACCAAAATGTTTTTCGATATATAACCTCAAAACACCAACCCTTAAACAAAACAAAAACATCATTCGATTATCGATTCGATAAATACTTTATTTAAAATGTTTATAAAAGAATTATCATTATTAAGTATTCTAATACATCCTGCATTCTAAATAATTTATCTTCTAATTTATTTTAGAATAATATTTTCTTATACTTTAGAAAATATTAAATAAAGTTGTAAAAAGATTTCCATTTTGTAGATAAAATAATTATGAACCACCATATAACAAATAAATATCAACCCAGAAAATAATATTTTTTCCAATAATTAAAAAAAATAACTGATATTTTTTTTAAAATATTCAGTTTATATTAAAAAAATTATTAAAAATACTTAAATTAAAATTAATTAATTATTAATTTGAATCAAAATATAATTTTTATAAATTATTCTGTATATTATATATTAAATGAAATATTAAATTACAACAATCTACAAAATTTAAAAAAATGATAAAGGAAAATATAAATTTATATAAATATTGAAAGATTATATAAAATCAAAATCAATACAAACCGAATTGTTAAAGATCTGAAAAGAGAAAAAAATAATTATAGTAGTTTTTAAAATTTCATACAATAAATTATAACATTATAAAATAATTATTATTAAATTTTATAGCAAAAATATCTATAATTTAATTTCCAAAATAAGCAAAAATATTAATTATAAAAATTTTGAAGTACTAAAATTTTGATATAGAACCCTGCAGCGATGTGTAACTAAATTTCTTAGGACCTAGAAAATTATAAAATTAAATAAATAATTTATGTAAAGCAGTGCAATTTGTGTTTTTTGTTGATGAAATTAAACCTTGTGCCTTCATCGTTGGATGATATTGGAGTAGTGTCTTTTGGATCCTTATCTGTTAAGATAAATGAGCTAGCGCTGTTTGAAAGAAGAAGAGGAATTAAACATTATATTGCCGCGCATTGCTGTTGGATCAAAGGCTGTTTTTGTACTAACCAGTCAGCAGTTTGTGGGCTTTTGTTTACAAACAATTACATTTTGATTTGGAGACAGTGCTGCGTGTGCTTTGTATCTGTGTTTGCGGTGCAATTTATGCTCTCCGTGTTTGTTGTCTTTGACTGTTGAAGTATCTGTATTTGTGACCATGCCAGCTGCGACGAGAACAAATACGTGTCCCATCTGTGCAGTTGTTGTAAAGGGCAAACAGAACAGTATTGGATGTGGTATTTGTGAATTGTTTTTCCACATTAAATGTGTCGATGTTTCGAGAGAGCAACACAGTTGTTTGTACAAGCATAGGAAGACAATGATGTTTTTGTTTAAGTGTCCTACGTGTATCAAGAAGAGCACTGATGGGGCTGCTGCCTCTGCTTCGGCCAACGTATGTACACAGAATGCTAACAGTGTTGAAATTGGTTCTGAAGTTATTGGATCAATGCAGAAAGAGTTTGAATCTTAAAAGTTATGCCTTGAGAAACAATTTGAGAGCTTCATGCTTGAGATAAAGGACGTTGTGAAAACGATACGGTCGGAGGTTGATGTTCAGAATGTTGAGGAATCACTCCGTCGCTGCCAAGATGGTGTCAAACTTATTGAAAAGGCTAAGCAGGAAACAGATGTTGAAAGTGATATCCTTACAAGGCGCCTCAATAGATCAAATATAATTATTAGTGGCTTGCCTGATGGGATAAAACAGTTAAGAGAACCAGTGATAAGAATTGCTACATTGTGTGGTGTTGATATGCAACCTGGTGATGTCAATTACTGCTGCTTCGGATCAAAACATCTTACAAAAAAAAATAACACCCATGGTACACAAATTTATATGAACAGTTAAAGCGGAAAGAGCCTACCCATTTCGGCGAGCTAAGCCGCAGCCTAGGACCAGCGTACCATGTCCGCTCAAAAATCACTGTTACAAATATGGCTCCCAACGTGGAGCTTCTTAAAAAAAATTGTATTTCTTCTATAATCCAAACTCTTCATTTAGCTACAATCAGTTTGTAGGTATCCCGGAAGGCAATTCAAATGTCATACGGTGTTGTACAAATACTCTGATGTAGTGAAAGGTCGAGTTACCAATCGATGAAAATGATATTACAATCGTGACAGTATCATAATTTAATATTTATTTGTACCTCAACGAAAGAAATATTCATTTGCATCGAAAGGTATAATTCATTTAATTTCTTTGTACCAAAATGTTTTTCGATATATAACCTCAAAACACCAACCCTTAAACAAAACAAAAACATCATTCGATTATCGATTCGATAAATACTTTATTTAAAATGTTTATAAAAGAATTATCATTATTAAGTATTCTAATACATCCTGCATTCTAAATAATTTATCTTCTAATTTATTTTAGAATAATATTTTCTTATTGTTTCTTACTTCACTTTTTTTTTGTTTTTCTTTAATTAAAAGATGTTGTTTTATTTTTGTTTTTTTTTTTGTATTGTTTTATTTCAATGTTTTATTAAAATTCAATTTTTTTTTGTTACACTTTTTGTTTAGTTTTAGGTTTTTTCTGTTCAATTAATTTTTTCCTTTTTTTTGTACAATGTTTTATGTTTTTTGTATTATGTTTTTTTTTGGTTAACACTTTGGGTTTTTTTGTTTTTGGGCACTGTTCACTTCGGGGGGGAAACTTGCGTTCGCGCTTTTAAATTCGATCTTGAACTGATCTAACTCAAATTTGCATCGTCACAGCAAACCTGTTTTGGCTGGTGACGATGCTTATTTATTTGAATTCAGCATTGGAATTTACCGGTGGCTGCATATATGTGCATGTGTGTGTGTATATGTACATCATTTTTTTTATGATGTTATTTATGCAGCCACCGGTAATGTAACAAACAACACTGTTGCGCAAAAATATAGCATCTTTTATGAACATTTCTGGCCCCCGAATGACAAGTGTTTGCATTCATTTTTGAAATACAATGTTGTTCTTTATATTTTTGGCATATTTTTTATTGGACCGGCAAACACGTAACCCAGTTGGGTATCATAGGCCAGGACATCTCCAATTCCAGCCTCCTTGCACTCGTCTTTTCTTATGGCTGAGTAAACGTCAGCACCCAGTTCCACATCGACGGGATTGTTGCCTCGGGGATCAGGGTCGGCTAGACCGCAATTTCTGAAACTTCTTGTGGGGTCCTCGAGGATTGGGTCCGAGTAAATGCGCCTGGGCAAATCTTCTATTATCTAAATCTAAGACTCCAGTGGCTGTTTATGCGGCGGGGCGAAACCGTAAAGGTGGTAAATCGCTGCCCTTTGTAAATCCGCGATTGTAGGCCCAATCTACGGAAAGCCGCATACGATATTTTGGACATCGTCGCTGATTGGCTGATTAATGCCCTTAGCATGCTGTACCCCTCTATTTTGTCAGCCTTGATGCGCACCATAGCCGTTGGCACAAATACCAAATCCCACGCAAAGTTTGGTGTTGTTACAACTTCCTCGTTTAGGGATACTTCCTCCAGCTGAGACGCCCCGTGTAGCAGCGTATGATGCCGATTGTTGCACCTCCTGCAACCAGTCAACGACGGACAGTCAGGGGCCAAATGACTTCTGGCAAGGCATTTTCTGCAGTACCCCCTACGCTCCACAGTCTCATAGCGCTGGAAGGGGGTCTGGTGGCGAAACCTCTCGCAAGCACTGAGGGCATGGTCCTCCTGACACAACCCACAGGAATACTGCCAATAGCTGGGTCGTTCTTGGCGTTGGCGGGATCTTGCAGCGGAGCGGCTTCGTTGACGTCTTTCTGGCGATGTGGAACTGGGAAGTTTGCGGTGTCTATGAGCCGGTCTGCTGGGAATGGGTTCGGTTGGGCGTCTGGGTCTGCTAGAACTTCTCGCTGTTGGACGTGCGGATTGGTTGGGACTGCGGCTGCGATCATCTAAACGGCAGTCTTGATTGGGCAAGTAGGCAGCCATATCTGAAAAAAACCAAAGGCGAGTACTATGTTCTTTTTTAAGTAGGATTCCGGCTAGTCAGTCGGAAAACAATTTGACAATTTTTGTGATAGGTCTGCTTATGTTGCCACTTGATGTCCGTATGTCTACAACCCTCGTATTCTGATCGCTACCGAGATATGTTTTTGCAATTCGACCCAACTTCCATTCATTTGGAGCCAACCTATCGTCCTTGATGACTACTAAATCTCCTTCTTTGACATTCTCCCTTTCACGCTTCCATTTAGTTCTTCTGTGAAGTTCGTGGAGATATTCTAATTTCCACCTATTGCAAAAGTATTGTGAAATAACTTTGAGTCGTTTCCAACGATTTACTAGACTAAGATCTGTGTCGGAAATGTCGGGTTCAGCAGGAGTAAGAATTGATGTTCCAATTAAGAAACGACCAGGAGTTAACGGGGAAAAGTCATTTGGATCATCGCTACCAGGACTTAAGGGTCGCGAATTAAGGCAGGCTTCAATTCTTGCTAAGATAGTTGTAAATTCTTCAAATGTGAAATTCATTTTTGGAATACTTTTTCGCAAATGCATTTTAAACGATTTAACGCCGGCCTCCCACAAACCGCCCATGTGCGGAGCGCCAGGCGGGATAAATTTCCAAGTAAGATTTTGATTGAAATTGTTTTGGATTGTGCTACTTTGAATATTCTTCATGAAAGCTAATCGATCTCGCTTTAATAGATCGACCGCTCCCACAAAATTGGTTCCGTTGTCGGAAAATATACAAGACGGACAACCTCGCCGACTTATGAATCTGGAGAAAGCGGCGAGAAAGGCATATGTAGATAAATCGCTAGTTGGTTCTAAATGTATAGCCTTGGTGGCGAAGCAGACGAACAGGCAAACATAGCCTTTTGTAATAAAGCAAGCCCTTCCTGAATAACTTTTAATATTAAAAGGTCCTGCAAAATCTACCCCAGTGTTTGTAAAGGGTCGAGACAGAAAAGTACGTTCGGGTGGCAGCGAGGCCATTATTTGAGTTTGGGTTTGTTTCTTGTGAATTAAGCAGATTCGGCATTTTCGTATAGTTTGTTTAACCAGAGATTTGAGTCCAAATATCCAGAATTCGGATCTTAGCACTCGGGTCATCAATTGATTACCACCATGTAAAGTGATCTTATGAGTGAATTCGACCAACAATTTTCTAAGGGTAGTTCCGTGTGGTAGTATTATGGGATGACGTTCGCTATATGTAAGGGCTGGAGATTGAACTAATCTGCCATTAGCTCGAATAATACCCTTTGAGTCGAGAAACGGGTTTAACGTCAATAGAGGGCTTGATGGAGAAATTGGAGACTTTTTCATTAGTGAATTATATTCATCTGCATAAACGAATTTTTGTGTACGAATTATGCAAGATCGTTTTCCATCTTGGATTTCGGCTGCGGTAAGATCTATTGATGAGGAGCGAAGATTTTGCCGATTTGCGCCTGTATTTTTCCAAAATCGCAGAGCATAGGCGTATGATCGGTAGACTTTTGCCAATGATGAGAAATTTTTTAATGGATCCTCTCTTTCTTGAAATATAGTCAGAACTTTTACAGCTTTAGCCTCTAAATTTGTGTCGTTTGGGATATCTTGCGATGGCCAACGATCTTTTGGCATTTTGAGCCATTGAGGTCCATGCCACCAGAGCTCATGAGTCGTTAGTTCAGTTGGAGAACATCCACGACTAGCAATGTCAGCTGGGTTGCTTTCAGAGTCAACATGTTTCCAGTTTTCTTGCCCAACATTATCAGATATTTCCGAGACTCTATTTCCCACAAAGGTGCTCCAATGACAAGGAGGCTTTTTTAACCAGGCCAAGACAATAGTAGAGTCTGTCCAAAAATGTGTTGAATATTTTGATATTTGTAGACTGTTTGTAATAGATTTTGCTAATTTGGAAAGTAAGACTGCCCCACATAATTCGAGCCTTGGTATTGAAAGTTTTTTGATTGGTGCTATACGAGTCTTTGCTGCTAATAAAGAGGTGTGTGTGGAATGGTCAGTTTTTTCAATCCGAACATATAGCGTTGCTCCATACGCGCTCTCCGATGCGTCACAAAATCCATGAATCTCAACAGAAGCATCTAGTGTAAATCTTGGAACTCTGAGAGATTTAATATCATTGCTATTTTTGACAAAGTTTTGCCAATTTATATGGGTGATTGGTTTCAGTGTATCATCCCAATCGATTTTATCCAGCCAAATTTGTTGCATTATCAGTTTTGCTACGACCACTATTGGCGCTAGCCATCCGCATGGATCAAACAATTTGGCTATAGTTGATAAAACTTCTCGTTTTGTGTAAATGTTTTTGTTTTCCACGGTTGGAGGTGTAAAAGTGAAAAAATCACCTGATATATTCCATCGTATTCCCAACGTTTTCGTGGACGCATCTTCAGAGATATCCAACCAGTTAAGAGGCAATAAATTTTCTTGTGGAATATCTTTTATTATTGTATGATAATTTGAGGCCCATTTCATAAGTTGAAATCCAGCGGATTCGAGCGCTGCTACTAAGTCCTTCCGAGCTTTTATAGTCTCCTCAATTGTGTGTCCACCCGCAAGTACATCATCCACATAAAGATTTTGTCTTATAATTCTTGCAGCTCTTGGATACGAATCTTGAACATCATCTGCCAATTTCATAAGAGTTCTCAGTGCCAGAAACGGTGCGCAATTTACTCCAAATGTTACAGTTAGTAATTCATAGTCTTCAACTGGGTCTGTTGGCGATTTTCTAAACAGAATTCTTTGATATTTTTTTTGAGTTGAATCCAACAGTATTTGCCTATACATTTTAGTAATATCGGCGTTAAAAGCATACTTAAAAAATCTCCATTTTAGAATTTGTAGTACCAAATCTTGTTGTAAAATGGGTCCCGGAAACAATATGTCATTGAGACTTGTTTTGTTTGATGATGGGCAAGAAGCATTGAAGACGACTCTTAACTTTGTCGTGATTCGATCTGGCTTAATTACTGCATGATGTGGTAGATAATAATTGGGCATTTCGTCTCTTTCATCCGGATTGATCCTCCGCATATGACCAAGTTCTAAATATTCGAGTATTGAGGCATCATATTGTTCTTTTATCTCGGGCGTTTTCATAAGTTTTTTCTCCATTCTGTAGAATTGAGCTAAGGCGATGTTTCGGGAATTTCCTAATTCTTCGCATTTTTTGAATGGGAGAGTCACCACATATCTTCCATCCTTGTTTCGTATTGTTGTTTCAGTAAAATTTTGTTCACAAAATTGGTCTTCTTCTGACCGTAAAACTTTTTTAGGGGTCTCTTCCACCTCCCAAAATCGTGTAAGTACTTTCTCTATTGATGTTGTATTTAGAAATGATATTTGTTTTCGTTGAAGAGTGCTTCCCGGTATGGGTCCTCCAACTATCCATCCAAATTTGGTTTTTTGAGTTAAAATTGATCCAAATGTTCTCATCGGAGTTCCAAGTGTGAATATTAATGGTCCTATGTCCATTCCAATAAGTAAATCAATGGGTTGACTAACGTAAAATTTCGGGTCAGCCAGTTCTAATGCTGTTACATCTCGAAGTTGTGATTCATCTAAGTTTTGTGGTGGTAGATTTGAAGGTAAATTCTTTTAAACTGGAGCCCATACTTCCAGTTTAAAGCTAGGGTCGTATTTGGATCGCATAGTAAACAAGCAAGATTTCGTAGATGTTTCGGCAACAAATTGACTAAGGCCGGTGATATGAACTAGATTGTTCCTTGTGGGTAATTTCAAGAGGTTTTTCATCTTCTCAGAAATAAAAGTGGATTGTGATCCTGAATCTATTAGAGCTCGGGCATCGTATAGTTGTCCTTTGGTTTCAATTTGTACTATTGCTGTGAAAAGTAGAGTTCCTCCAGATTGTTGCTCACTAATTCGCTCATCTTGGAGGGTCAAAGTGGTAATAGTAGTTGGTTCTAGGTTGGTAGTGGACTGTATGTGAGTTGAAAGAGCAGCAGCACTGGTACTAGGTTGTGCTTCCACTCGAGCTAGGTATGTGTTTGTGGTTTGGGTTTCCGACCCCTTGTGTAACAAAGTATTATGTCTCATAGTACAAATACGACAACCAAAGCGACTTTTGCAATCTCTTACTCCGTGGTTTGAAGACAAGCAGTTGTAGCATAAGTGTGACGTTTTCACAGTGTGAATTCTGTCATTTACACTCTTTTTTAAAAATTCGCTGCAATCCCTGATAAAATGGTTTGATTTGCAGACTTGACATGTTTGAATATTTTGTGATTTATTTTGTTGAGGTTGTGCTAAGTTGTTTCTTCCTCCAAAATTGGTTGTATTTTTTGCGACATTTGTTTGAAATGTTTTCAAAAAACTAGGTTTATTCATGTTATTTTGCTTCTGTTGAGCAAATTTTGATGTTGAGGGTTTTATATTCCCTACTGATTCCAAGGTTTTAAATTTGTTTGTTAAGAAATCGTCAAAATGTTCCCATTTTGGTATTTGTTTACAATCGCTTAATGAGTTCTCGAATTCTTCTAGGAAGCCTCTAGGTAATTTTGTTGAGTAAATGTATATTAAAATCGGATCCCATCCTTTTACATCGACGTCAAGCATCCCCAAAGTTTGAATACAGCTATTTACAGTGCGTTGTAGTTTTTGAATAGTGTAACTTGAGTCTGTAGAAACACCAGGTAGATTAAAAAGTGTTTTAATTTCTTCATTAATTTGCATCCTTTTGTTCTCATAACGATCCGTAAGATTTTTCCATGCTAATGCAAATCCATCATTAGTTAGTGGAACATGCGTTATAATTTCTCGTGCTTCTCCTGCTGTCTTTTGAGTCAAATGGAATAACTTTTCGACATTACTTAATTTTGAATTGTTTATGTAAATTGCCGAAAATAAATCTCTGAAAGTCGGCCATTCTCGATATCCCCCTTTAAAAGTGTCTGTGTCGCATGGCGGCAGCCGTGATATTGGCGTAAAATCCACTTCCTTTCCTTGCTGTGACATCTCTGAATCTCTTTTCATTTTCTCCTGTGCTTTTTCATCCAAAATATTTTGAATTTGTCCATTTATTGAACTCAGCGCCTGTTTATATGATCCCATGGTATCCATATAATGTTTCCTCAATTTATTTTTGTCGATGGTTTTTCCTCCTTCCTCTGGAACATAATCACGGCAGTCTAAATATGCCCTTTTGACCTGGTCCCATGCAGAATCCAACTCCATACGTGTTGTCTCCAAAGTATGAACCGTGTCATCCGGTTTGGTTATTGAAAAAATTGAAATGTAATCCTGAAGATCGTTGACGCAGTTTGCGAATTTTTCGCTTAGAGTCTTATCCATTTTGATGACTGAGTATTAACCTTTACCGAAATTTTGTTTGTTGCAAAAAGGAAAGGCAACCCAATGAAAAGGATTGACTTGGAATAAGATTCAAACTTTTATCAAACTTTTTTTATTTTTAAAAAATAAGGATAAGCTATCTTCTTCAATTTGATCAACGAAATCTATGTTCAATTTTTGGTTTGGGTCGAATTATATTTCGTTTTGTTCCAAAGACTTGAAAGTTCTTGCAAAATCCCAAAAACTTTACTTTGTATGAGACGCCGAAATAATTTTGTTTAAAAATGTTTGCTGGGTTGTCCAGAGAAGTCAAACTCAATCAAGATATACCAAGGTGTTATAAAATATCTTGAAATCCACTCACAGGGATATTTTATTTTAAGAAAATCCAGAAATAATCAATATTATTCCAAAAGGAGTAAAGGTGAGGATTGTACAGGCAAAAAACGCTACAAAAACGACCAAAAGATTTTTGAGTTTCCACCAACGAGGGTTTTTTTCCCAGCAGTAAAATTGTAGAAAATGAAAATTTTCAATAAATATTTCCAAAAATGAAAAATATTTCCTATTGAAATAAAAATGTGTGCTGGGTTGTCGAACAAAGAATCCTCAAAAATATTACCATAAAATTGCAGGAGTAATTTTAACTTTTGACGAGACAAAAATATTGCTATGAAAATTTGTTTGAGGCAACAAATTTTCTAAAAACGCTAGGTAATTAATTTAAAATCACAAGGTGCTAGTATTGGGTCAAGTTCCACAAATTTTTTTTCCAGAAAAATTCCAATAATTTGCAAAATTTTCCAAAAAATTTGTATATTCCAGCAAAATGTTTGTTGTGTCAAACTCCAATTAAAATTTCCACGAAAATCTAACTTTTTCGTTCAGCAAATTCTTTCAAAATGTTTGTCTTAGCAAAAAGCAAAAAAAAATACCAGCAAAACATTTCTGCGAAAAAATGCAGAAATAAATTTTGGGTCCCAGAAATGTTTTTCTTGATTTAAAAATTTTAAGATATTTGTAAAATATAATAAAAATGTGTTATATTATATATGGGATCGATTTTTTTTTCTGTCCACAGACGCCAATCTAATTTTTTTCCAAAAATCCCGAAAAAAATTCTAGGTTAAGTATTGTTTCATGTCCGTCCACTAGACGCTATTATTTGCAAAATCCGTCTGTCCACCAAACGGTTGCTATGTATTTCGCTTATGTATTTTTGTGACGCCAAAAATGTTAAAAATATGGCGATTATATATTTTTATGTGACGCTAGATTTTTTTTCCAATATGGCGTTTATATATGTGTCAAGCGACGCCAATTTTCCAATAAGAATGTTTTTTCCAATATGGCGTTTATATGTGTCAAGTGACGCCAATTTTCCAATAAGAATGTTTTTTTTTTTTTCAATATGGCGCTTATTTATTTTTTGAACTGCACGTTCAGCAATTTCCAATATTATATATTTATATGTATGAAAATTCGCGCTATTTTATAAGTACTTATTGCGCCTATGTGAGTCTATATTTAGATGTCCGTCCACAAAATGGCTCCAAAAAGAGAAATTTTCTCAAAAAAGTGTCTTAGAGGCAACGCAGCAACTTTAAAAAGTGTCAACTTGAGATTTCAAAGTATGGGAATCTTCGGGTCAATGCAAATATTGAGGATTTGCCTGCTCCCGGTATGCCCTTTATGTCCAACAAGATAAATTTGATTGAGTACTCACTTTGATTTAGCCTTTGGGTCTCAAAAATTTGTTGTTGTAGTGTTGCTATTGTTGTTGTTGTTGTATTGCCAAAGTCCTTCGTAGTCTTCCGGCAGCTTCCACAATATTGACTACTTCTGGATTTTATATTTAGATATTATATCCTGTATACTATCTCTTTTTTTGTGGTATTGTGTACTGTCACTTTTTGTTACACTTTTTATTTTAGTATTGTGTCTTTTGTATAGACCTTTTTTATGAAAAAATAAAAAATTTAATTAATTTTTGTTTATTTTTGTAGCACTGTGTAATTTCTTTTAGTTCTGTAGCACCGTGTAATGTCACTTGGTATCACTTTTTAATGTCACTTTTGTAGCACTGTGTATTTTCTGTTTGTTTTGTAGCACTGTGTGTTGTCTCTTTTTTGTAGTAAATTTGTAAAAAATATATATTTGTTTGTTTAATGTCACTTTTTTGTAGCACAGTGTATTTTCTATTTTTTTCACTTTTTCTTTTGGTTGCACTTTTTTAAACGTCACTTTTTGTTAATTTATTTATTTATATTTTATTATGCACTTTTGTTTTTGTTTCACTTCACTGTGTCTGTCCACTTAATACTTTTTTTTTTGTTTTTAATATTTTAAAAACTTCACTTTATGCTCCGGCTCTGGAGGACCAAATGTTTCTTACTTCACCTTTTTTTATGTTTTTCTTTAATTAAAAGATGTTGTTTTATTTTTGTTTTTTTTTTTTGTATTGTTTTATTTCAATGTTTTATTAAAATTCATTTTTTTTTTGTTACACTTTTTGTTTAGTTTTAGGTTTTTTCTGTTCAATTAATTTTTTCCTTTTTTTTTGTACAATGTTTTATGTTTTTTGTATTATGTTTTTTTTTTTGGTTAACACTTTGGGTTTTTTTTGTTTTTGGGCACTGTTCACTTCGGGGGGGGGAAACTTGCGTTCGCGCTTTTAAATTCGATCTTGAACTGATCTAACTCAAATTTGCATCGTCACAGCAAACCTGTTTTGGCTGGTGACGATGCTTATTTATTTGAATTCAGCATTGGAATTTACCGGTGGCTGCATATATGTGCATGTGTGTGTGTATATGTACATCATTTTTTTTATGATGTTATTTATGCAGCCACCGGTAATGTAACAAACAACACTGTTGCGCAAAAATATAGCATCTTTTATGAACACTTATACTTTAGAAAATATTAAATAAAGTTGTAAAAAGATTTCCATTTTGTAGATAAAATAATTATGAACCACCATATAACAAATAAATATCAACCCAGAAAATAATATAAAAAAATAACTGATATTTTTTTTTAAAATATTCAGTTTATATTAAAAAAATTATTAAAAATACTTAAATTAAAATTAATTAATTATTAATTTGAATTAAAATATAATTTTTATAAATTATTCTGTATATTAAATATTAAATGAAATATTAAATTACAACAATCTACAAAATTTAAAAAAAATGATAAAGGAAAATATATATTTATATAAATATTGAAAGATTATATAAAATCAAAATCAATACAAACCGAATTGTTAAAGATCTGAAAAGAGAAAAAAATAATTATAGTAGTTTTTAAAATTTCATACAATAAATTATAACATTATAAAATAATTATTATTAAATTTTATAGCAAAAATATCTATAATTTAATTTCCAAAATAAGCAAAAATATTAATTATAAAAATTTTGAAGTACTAAAATTTTGATATAGAACCCTGCAGCGATGTGTAACTAAATTTCTTAGGACCTAGAAAATTATAAAATTAAATAAATAATTTATGTAAAGCAGTGCAATTTGTGTTTTTTGTTGCTGAAATTAAACCTTGTGCCTTGATCGTTGGATGATATTGGAGTAGTGTCTTTTGGATCCTTATCTGTTAAGATAAATGAGCTAGCGCTGTTTGAAAGAAGAAGAGGAATTAAACATTATATTGCCGCGCATTGCTGTTGGATCAAAGGCTGTTTTTGTACTAACCAGTCAGCAGTTTGTGGGCTTTTGTTTACAAACAATTACATTTTGATTTGGAGACGTTGCTGCGTGTGCTTTGTATCTGTGTTTGCGGTGCAATTTATGCTCTCCGTGTTTGTTGTCTTTGACTGTTGAAGTATCTGTATTTGTGACCATGCCAGCTGCGACGAGAACAAATACGTGCCCCATCTGTGTAGTTGTTGTAAAGGGCAAACAGAACAGTATTGGATGTGGTATTTGTGAATTGTTTTTCCACATTAAATGTGTCGATGTTTCGAGAGAGCAACACAGTTGTTTGTACAAGCATAGGAAGACAATGATGTTTTTGTTTAAGTGTCCTACGTGTATCAAGAAGAGCACTGATGGGGCTGCTGCCTCTGCTTCAGCCAACGTATGTACACAGAATGCTAACAGTGTTGAAATTGGTTCTGAAGTTATTGGATCAATGCAGAAAGAGTTTGAATCTTAAAAGTTATGCCTTGAGAAACAATTTGAGAGCTTCATGCTTAAGATAAAGGACGTTGTGAAAACGATACGGTCGGAGGTTGATGTTCAGAATGTTGAGGAATCACTCCGTCGCTGCCAAGATGGTGCCAAACTTATTGAAAAGGCTAAGCAGGAAACAGATGTTGAAAGTGATATCCTTACAAGGCACCTCAATAGATCAAATATAATTATTAGTGGCTTGCCTGATGGGATAAAACAGTTAAGAGAACCAGTGATAAGAATTGCTACATTGTGTGGTGTTGATATGCAACCTGGTGATGTCAATCACTGCTGCTATATCTCAAAAGGTAAATCTGTCCTTGTGAAGTTCAATTCTGTGCTTATTAGAGACAAACTTATGGCTAGTTACCAAAAGCGCCGAAATTCACTATTGCTTAGTTATATTAATGGGGTAGGCGTGAAAAGCAGAGTGCACCTAAATGATCACCATAACCATGCAACCTCTAAATTAATGTACCTTTGCCAAAAGCTTTGGAGAAGCAATAAGATCCGAAGATTTAAGCTAAAAAGTGAGGACAACCCTAAGGCGTTGGTTTTACTTCCAGATGGTAGGGAGGATGAATTTGATATTTCCCGGTGCATCAGTATGTTAAATGGCGATGTTGTTTCTGCTGTGGAAAATACTTCTGTTGGTGGTGTTCACAGCGGAATGTTGATGTGCTGTTGTAAGTGGAGCTTGTTGAGTAGTATAGTGTACTGTATATTATTTATTTATATATTATATTATATATATTTATATTTTCTTGGTTTTTTTCGATTTTGTTATTTTTTTACTTTTGTTTATATTTTGCTCTTTACTATCATTATGAGTTTTTCAACCAGCTTAAGTGAAGTTTTTAGTGATAATCGTTTTTTGTCAAACCAGCTATTTAATTTTAGGGAAAATGTTAATGTTGGACATATAATTGTTAGAAGTTTTAACTTAAATAAGAATTCATTTAAAATTCATGAAATAAGAAATATTTTAGAGGGGAAAAATCTTAATATTTTTGGCGTGACAGAATCTTGGTTGAAGCCTACAATTTCAAACGAAGCCATAAAAATGCCTGATTACGTTTCATATAGGAGTGATAGACCTGGTAACAGAGGAGGTGGTGTTGTTTTGTATGTTGCGCAGGACATGTGTCACAAACTTGTGTGTAGGGGAAGTTCTTATGAATATGTTTTTTGTGAGGTAGTTTTTAATAATAGTTCTTTTTTAATTGGTGTTGTTTATTTGCCTCATGGTGATATAATGGCATTGGAAGATGAAATTTCTGACCTTGTTGTAAGGTATTCCAATGTCATTATTTTGGGGGGCTTTAATATTAATATGTTTGATCTGACCCGAAGTGAATTGCTGCGTGATGTTTGTAATCGTTTAAATTTGTCTGTGGTGCGTAATTCAATGACAACACATATTGACGTTGCGCACAATTCAACTTCTTTGTTGGATTATTTTTTGGTGTCGCATTTGAGTCCGTTATCGTGTTCAAATCAATTCTCTCGTTTATATTTTTGTCTCTGAATGTACCTCATCGTCGTAGCCGTCTGTATTATGAATATGCGGACTACATTTCTGTTGACCCAGCAGCTATTTCGGATGCTTTGGCTTTATGCAACTTTGAAGAGGTGTTTGCAGTAAGGGTTGTTGATTCACAGGTCAATATTCTGCATTGTGGTCTTCGAAGTTTGCATGCAATTGTTCCAATTAGAAGAAGATTTAATAAGAGTGATAATAGCGATTGGTTTAAATCTTCTGATACCCGATATCATGTTTCCCTTAGAGACTTTTCATATAAGGCATATCTTCAAATAGGACTTGGATGATTTTTTGCCGTTGTAGGAATCGTGCAAAGAAGATTATAAGGAAATTGAAGTGTATTGCTCATAAGCAGCTGTTTGTAAATAAAACCACAAAAGAAGTGTGGTCAATATTAAATAAGAATGGATTGTGTGATGAGGATAGTGAAGTTGGTAGTGTGGATGTTGAGAGGCTGAATTCTTGTTTTGTCTCTAATCAATCTGTGGATGTCTTCGATATTTCTTGTGTTCCAAGGACGACTAATGATGGCTTTTCGTTTCGGGCCATTAATTACAATGAAATTGTTAGTGCCTTTAATAAAATTAAGTCAAAGGCTGTAGGCTATGATAGCTTCAGGCTTAAATTTCTTAAACTTGTGTTCCCTTTTGTTTATCCTTTTGTGCTGCATGTTGTTAATACTATGTTGACAGTGTCTGCATTTCCTGAGGTCTGGAATGTTGCTAAAATAGTGCCTATCAATAAAGGTGGTGATTCTGATGAGTACAGACCCATATCAATAATGCCAATTCTTTCTAAAATGGTTGAATATGTATTGAAAGATCAAATACTGGAATATATAAATGAGCATTCGCTATTACACCCGAGTCAACATGAATTCAGAAGTAATCGTAGCACAACATCTCTTCTGGTTGGATTGACTGATAATATTCGAAATTGTGTCAGTGCTGGTGATTGTTGTGTCTTATTATCACTTGATTTGGAAAAGGCATTTGACAGGATAAATCATGCCAATTTAATCAGTAAGATATATCGTTTCTTCAATTTCTCGTCCTCGGCTTGCAAGTTATTGTTTTCATACCTGTTTGTGAGAAAACAGTATGTATGTTGTAAAAATGTTGTTTCCAGTCTTCTTCCTGTGAGTAATGGTGTTCTTGGCCCTCTATTGTTGCAGTCATCAATTGACTTTAATGTTAATATGTTGGTTACTTGGTTGTCCTGTAGCGCCTTCTCAATTAATACTAAAAAATCGAAAGTAATGTTTTTTGGGAACATGCAAGAGGATTCAATAAATGTTCCCATTTATAGGACGCCTATAAATGTTGTAAGCTCGATGAAATGTCTTGGT